TTTTGAATAGTTGCCTTCAGATGTTGTAGAGGCAGTAAATTTAAGTGAGTTTAAGAAAAAGCTTGATAAGTATATCTATGTAAATGGCTGGGTTTATAATTTTTTTTCATTTTTAATAATTTTAATTTCATCTTGAGGATGGAACAGCCGAGATGGACCAATAGGTTCCGTGTTGTCCCAAAATATTATGTTATGTTTTATGTTAAATTATAAAATGCTGAAATTTATTCCAGCTACATATAGAAGTGAAATTCAAGTTTTTCCTACGTCACTAGCATATGCATTAAAGATAAGATTTAAGTATTTAGTATTTTAATGAGACAGAAACTAATATATTTTTTAAAAGAATCTGTCGAAAAATATTGTTAGAGAAACTACAACTGGAGGGTTTATACTTACAGATATAATACAGTCTGCATATGATATCATATACATATATTTATCATACATACATGTTTTCCATAAGTTAACTGATGTATTCAATGTATTTGTGTGAATAGAATAATACAAGACATAATACTAATACCTAAAGACAGGAAAGATTTATGTTTTACTATCTCAAGCTTCTTCTTTTTTGTATCATTTGTGATACAATATGAATTATATAAATGTCATATTAGATGTATTCCCTGGTTTATTTTGTTGTTGACAAACAAGTGAAATATCATGGAAATTTGGATGTCATGTAACATAGATACAGAATTTCAAAAGTCACTTTATTTGTATTGGAAAACATACTAGAAACAGAGGAAGAAGTATGTTTTTGCCTTACTTTGGTGATTTATTTATCTAACTGTATATATAGATATTGAATTGTTTTTCACATGCGAGTTCAGATTGTTTGAAACTGCATATTAAAAGTGGAAACGATTTTTTGCCTGATGTAGTTTAGGAGCACCAATACTCTAGAAACAGCAAAACTATCCTTGCTGTATAGAGAGTCACTGGTAGTTCTCTGCCAACTTTTACATCTTGGTCATGAGATCTACCATTCCTCTCAATCAACTGTCTAATTTCAGTATTTTAATTGGAGTATAATAGTTGATGTTTCATTTGTGAGAATATAATATCAGTAATATTTATTATTTTTTACATCTTTTAGCTTGCCAATTATAAATGGTACTGTAAGTTCTCATCAGAATGCAAACTACCAAAATCACACAGATGTTTACCTTGAACCTAAGGTTCCACTCCTTGTAAATGTAAGTGTACTTTGAATATTATTGTTAATATAGTTTAACTTTTCACTTAAGTTACCATACAAGTCTTTTTTTTTCTGTAAGATTTTGTACCCCAATAACTTTATAGACTTAGAATCATATATTCTGGGTTTGATTCACCTTTGTGTATAGAGCGCATATAGTTCATTGTGTAGCTTTGCACTAAAACAAACAGACTTTTAAGAGTACACAAATCTAAATCAATCATCCCTCTCAGAAAATATGCAGAGATACACTGTGAACTTATGCATGTACACTGAGTATTCAGAATAGAGAAAAAGAGGTAATGAATATGTGTTTAGATGATACATTCTTTAGGTGTTATAGAACCAACACATACTGTATGATTAAAAAACAGATTAAATCTAAGAGTTAGGTGTGAAGTAGAAAGAAAAAATTAGTTTCAGATTTCAACTAAAATACGGTATCAGTTGCCCTGGTCTCGATAAGCCAAACCTACATATATCTTGTCCCATTTTTATTATATCTCTGTTTACACCTGCTGTAAAATGTAATCCTGTGTGTATTGTTACTCATTTTACTAGTGGTGGCTCTCTTTGAAGAAGTAAATTTTTGATAGCTTTTCTGTCAGTCTGGTAATTAGTAAACAAAACAATATAAATATTATCTTGTTGTTTTATTATAATACTTTCTGGCTATATCGAATGTTGCTGTATAATCTGTGAGAATTTTGTGACTCTGGGGACTCAATGTAAACTGCCTCTTCGTATTTATTTATGTTATTTCACACAATATTATACATACTTTTGATAAAATCTTTTTCTTGAGTAATTAGTATGCCACACAGGTGATGTTAAACCATTAATTTGTTCATACTGAATTTTTTGATGTGGTCAAAAATATAAAAATGATGCTTATATGAAACACCATAAAAAATTTATTTACTTCAAGTTTCATTTCCTAGTATTTCTCAAGTTGGTAGGTTTTTATAAAAGGTTAAAAAATATAAAGGTTTGTGAACTTATATAAACACTCATGCAGAATGAACAGTACTGTTGCTGTTCTAAGTCTTTCATTAATAATAATAATAATAAAGAGTCTAGTAATAACAGCTGTTTCAGGTGATTTAGAACGTGTATTGACCCCAACTGCATAGTATTTTTGATTTGTTGATTAAACTGATTGCTGGAAAAGTTCCATCAAATCATGTATTGTGTTTAATATGATTTCTTTTCAAGTGCCAGTCATCAATACTATTGGAGTAACAATATTAAGTACATGGTTTCAAAACAATATTCATACTTCAGTGGTGTATTTGTAAAGAATAAATTGCACTTATTGTTCCTGAAACCAAAAATAACTTTATCAAAAAAATTAATAATGTTAATAACTTTTATAGAAAAATTAATTTAGATTTTCCTTCCAAATTATCCATCAGCCTAAATTACGCCTTGTCTTAAAACTCTTAGCATTTCTAAAATGTAAAAAAAATACTTCTGTCTTGCCAAGTCTGCTTATGTAAATGATTGATACCTGTTCTATAAAAAATGTGAAATTTGGAATAATAGGTAACATTAGTGGAAAAATGGATCACATATCTACTAATACAATAAGAAATCAGAGCTCTTGAATATGTAATCCCTCTGGTGGCTCAGTTATAAATGTAAGGGCTTATAATGTTAAAATTTATGGTTTGATTCCTGTGGTTGTGCAGTTTTATGCTCAAGAACAAACAGATAATCAAATATAAAAAATTATTCCATAGTTCACTAGTATATGAACATAATTTAAGAAAAAAGTATTTTAGTATTTTAATGAGACAAATTAAGACATCATAGTAGTGCTTATGAAGTCAAAGAGGCTGTTAGTGAACTCTTGTTAATTTTGTTTTGTTTACATTGGACAGTGAAATACATCTAGTCAACAATACCCAAAACAAGGAAGCTGGAAAATAAAAGAAAGATTAATAATAATAAAATCTAAAGATTTGCACTACTTTTTTTAAATAATTCATTTGATTTATTCTTATATAGATATAACTTTATTGGATTACTCAAACTTAGTTTTATATTGCTGTCTAGGCTTTAAGTAAAACTATTTATTATTTAGACTTATCTGGGTATGTTTATATATATTTAGTATTTATATAAGCTAGTTTTTTATGTACAGAAGTCATGTATACTTTATTAATATTTTTACAATTCTTTATCTTCTTGTAATTATGCTTTAATGTAAACCAAGTATAACTGTAATAGAATTTATCTTTCAGAAGTCATTTCAACCTCTACAACAAGGTACTATGCAACCTGTAATGGAAAGTCTACACATTAACACTGTTAATGAACCCACCCCGTAAGTCATTTACTTATTGGATATAAATGTCAAATCAAATGTCTTTTCTAAACTAAGTTTCAGTGAGATATTTAGAAACTTGAGAAAATTAATATTATACTGAATTGTGAATAACTTATGCGAACAGGAACATTGAACAATGCACTTGATATTAAAGAAACAGATCTGTAACCAATATTTAAATTTATCACACTTGTGCTTTCTTACTGATTATGTATTTAATATAAAATTAACTATTGGCTATTGCTATTAAAGCTATGCATAAACTAGTAGTATAGCCATGTAGGAAATACTGGGTGGGTCTGGAGTTATGATGGATGGGCAGGAGGCATACAAATCCCTGGAGGAAAATTATATGGAGCTAAAAAAAAGTGCTATTTTGATGTATTCGGACATGAGAACCATCAATCAAACTCTGATTGGTGGGCCTTGGGTCTTGAGTGGTTATACCTCTGACATAAAATAAAATATATTTACAGTTTAGACTTTCATAGTAGAGGTAATAAAGAGATGTGAATAATATTTAGGTTCAAGTTTGTATTTCAGATTAATTTCCAGACAAGTCACTAATGCTGATCTATAATGTAAACAAGTTGAATGATATAACTTATGGTACAGAAATTGCAATAACTTATCAGTTCAATGCTCTTACTGTTCATGATGTTTCAAATATATGAAAATAACTTAGTAGTTTGAGAAATCACATGCAAGAATATTAAAGTTTGATAATAATAATGTAAAATATTCTTTGTAACTCTAGGTAAGGACAATGGAGGGTTTCTATATAGATAATTTCTGTAGAGAAAACTGAAAAACAAACAAGTTTATAGACTTTAGTCCAACTGACAAACAAACAAGCTTATAGACTTTAGTCCAACTGACAAACAAACAAGCTTATAGACTTTAGTCCAACTGACAAACAAACAAGCATACAGACTTTAGTCCAACTGACAAACAAACAAGCTTATAGACTTTAGTCCAACTGACAAACGAACAAGCATATAGACTTTAGTCCAAATGACAAACAAACAAACTTACAAACTTTAGTCCAACTGACAAACAAACAAGCTTATAGACTTTAGTCCAACTGACAAACAAGCTTACAGACTTTAGTCCAACTGATAAATGAACAAGCTAACAGACTTCAGTTCAACTGATAAATGAACAAACTTATAGACTTTAGTCTATGCTTGCCAAAACTGACATTTTTCTATCACCTTCTTTTTGTACATTATTATATCCAGTAATAATTAGTGCTATTTATTTTATTATAGTCATAAAACTTGAAATATGCATGGTAGAATAATTACAGTGAATTACTAGTTCATAAAATTTGTTTTCTAATTTTGTTTACATCTTCAATGAAAACATGTTGTTCTTGTAAACAAACATACTTGTCTCTGTCTGATATGAAGGCAACCACTCAAGTAATATTGAGTACACTTATCCACATAAGTTTTATTGTTAATTTTCTTTACTTACACCGATCCACACTAATATCTTATAGAATCTGTGATTATGTTGCCCTACTCATAGGCAATGAAGAAATAGATAACAAGGTTATTAATCACACCAAAAGGCTAATAAATTAGTTAATATACCAAAATCACTTTTTTTGGGAATATTTATGGAACTCAGTACCATTTCACCTGTTAGAAAAAGTCAATAAGGTAAATTTACTAAGATCAGTTTCCAAGATTTTGAACAAACTAATGTACAATCTAGTTACATTTTAACAAAACTTTTTTCCATGTGTTTTTGTGCAGATTTCGAGCTTTGTATAACTACACTCCACAACATGAGGATGAGCTACAGCTTAGTGAGGGAGACACAATTTATGTGATGGAAAAGTGTGATGATGGATGGTATGTTGGTACATCTCTAAAAACAAGTTTGTTTGGGACTTTCCCAGGGAACTACGTAGTACAAATCTGGTAAGCGTTGTTAGATGCTAAGTTCTTATTTATAATTTTCTCTACACATCTAAACAACATAAAATCTAGGAAACTTTTTCTATCCTTTAACATTTGAATTTTGATATATCCATCAAAAGTAACTACATATACAAACCATTAGTCATTTTGGTTGAAGTAAACACAAAAATTAATGTACAAGAAATTAGAATCTTTTAGTAAAGAACTACAATTAACCCTCTTCTAACCAGTTCAGAGTGGTAATGTTTAGGACTTTCATCTATAATTTGCTGTACAGGAAAACAGGTTAATTTACTCTGAATTAATGTGACACAGAATCAAGACTAAGCTTTTCGTTTTTAATACTGGATAATGAAGTTTTATATGACTCAAGAGTTCTAGCTTGATATGCACAGTTTTATGTCATTGAGAAAAAGGCTGTTGAAATACTGATAAAAAGTTGTTTGCCCGTAAATAAGTTATTGCAAGTTTTTCTCTACGAACATAAAGAATTAGGCAATTTAGGAATAAATTAAGTAGCAATCAATAACAATTAAAAGTGCTTGGCTAAATTTTATCATTAAGTTATTTGATGATGGCCAAATTTCGTGCAAATACAAGATATGTTGTGTGCTTGTTTATCATACACTGCTGAAGGTATTTTGAAATTAATAATAATTCAAGGTTTTTAACTTAATTAAATTTTTTTTAGAAAAAATTAAATTCAAACATTGCCATGATTAAATAATTTGCCTAACTTTTCAAAATATTCAAAAAACATAGTTTTGGTTCATTTATTTCTACACCTACAAACCTGAAAAAAAGTTTGTATGCTATATAACAGATAAGTATTCCTAAAGTTTTTCAAATTTAACTGCATAAGTTGATACTAATTTTTCTCTAATTCATTTGAATTCTTAACTAACAACCAAATCATCAACTGTAACAAATGCATTATTAGATTAACACATAGGACAACTAGGCCCAGGCCCTGCTGGCCACCAAAGTAAAAAAATATAGTTCATAAAACTAGCAGAATAAAGGCAAGAGTGAGTTGTTATTATTATTACTATCATCATTGTTATTATTCCCAAATATTATCTGGGTCTAGGTCCCCACTAAGCCCTAATCCGGCCCTGACCAAACACGTGTGAGGGCTAGTAAAAAGGGAATATAATTTATTTAATGGAAATATGATTGTTTATTTGATATCGAACAGGGATTTATTTAGTTCTCAGACCAAAACAATTTCATCAATTTAAGTTTAGAATTGATTTTTTTTCCCTATGGAGGAATGAGAAGTTGGAAAAGAATAATTCCTGCCTTCCATGCGATTAAGTTTTAAGCACCACAGAAATACTATCGTACCCCGACCAGAACTTGAACCCAGGGCTTCCAGCTTACAATAATGCTCTTTCAACTGAGCTATATTACAAGACCAACGAGAAAATTTTATTTTGTTACAAGTTGAATCTCACAGTCACATTTATCACACTACATTAGAAACAGCTGCTCAGGTCTAGCTCTCATTAACCAACTGGATTAGATACCAGAAAGATCTTCAGTCTAATCATAAAGCAAAATACAATCAAATATTATTTAATATAGAAATTAACTGAAATGTATTATTATGTTTGAAAAAGCTATTAAATTTCAAAAATTAAAACTGACTTTTAAGTCATTGTATGACTATAAAGTAACTTGAAGTGGGGAGCTTTAAGCCAATTTAATCTCATCTTAAAAAAATATCTCTCAGCATAATTGTGTAAGGTCTAAAACTGGTTTCTCATGCAGTTAGTGAAACTAAAACATTGGGTTAAAAAGTTCACACTTATAATTTAGGAAATAGCAGCTGGATACAGTGTTCTTATAAATTCTGTAACCAAAACATTTCCACTCCTAGCTCCAAATTATTTAATTGCTGTAACTCTTCTCCCCCCCCCCCCAAAGACTTCATACAGTATAAGTAGAAAATCTATGCTATTAGCTTGATTTGCAAAACTGTACATTTTTTAAGTAAAATTTTTTAAACAAGAATGTCCAGTTTATAATTCAAAATGTGCCACATCTTATCATTTAGTTTCAAGTTTTGAAATAATTTCTATACCAGATTGATTCAAAAGCAATGATTATGTTTGCACTGGCTTTTTGGATCTTAAATTTAGAGATATTTAACCATCTACCAGTCCTTCTTAGTCAGAAATCATCTGCACATCATTTCATGATCAGATTGTGTTCATGCTTATTTTTAATGAATTTTCCTCCTGACAGATGCTTCTTACATCAGACACAGCAGAAGTCCACCTGACATGCACCAAGATGGCCAGAGAACAAGTTCAGCTTCCTATCTTGTGATCAAGATCTTCGCATTATGGAAAAGTTATATTACATATATATTGAAGTACTTGGCTGATACTAATGAATGATATTGCTATAATAATATAGTACTGAACTAGATGAAGTGTTCTTAACAAGCAGCTACATATTGTTGCCAGAACTGTTATTGCATCAATAAACAAAAATCTACACAAAAAAAAACTTTTGTTGCTTTACTTAGCTTTATATATATACTAGCAGAAACCTGCAAAAACTTGGGGTCCAATTAGTATCTTTATTGCAACAGTAGGTTCTTTAAATACAGGATTTCTGGAATAATACAAAAGAATTCTAATCGCAGACACCTAAACCTACAAGTTCACTTGTCTTAGGCCTAACGTTAGGTAAGCTTTATTAAGTATGGCTTATAATCAAAACATTGATAAATTAACACTGTTACTTGTGTACATTTTTTGCTTTAGTTTAGTTAGGGTTAAACTTTAGCATATTTAATACTATCAATAAATAAACTTATAATGTTATTCTGCAACCAAATTTTAGATCTTTATAAAAACTTTGATAAGCTTTTAAAATGTTGTTGTACAAAATATCTACTGAGTGTATTTACATCTGCCTTTTGTTTACGTCTATTGAAATAAAGTGTGCTCATATGTGCATTTAGATATTAAGGTGAGTGTGCATTTTCAGGACAGACAAAAACTGATTATATATATATATGCACATAAGAAATATCAGCTCAGGCATAGCTCTTATTAATCAACATGAGATGTGAAATACCTATATATACATTAAGTTAAATACATCTGGTCACACAAATGTATAAGCTATTGGATCAGACAGTATCCGCACTTTATGGACATGTAAGGACACAGATAAAAAAAGATGTATAAAATTCAAATACATTAACTTTTTAAACTTTATTCAACACAAAAACTTTACAACAAGAAAAGTTCACAACATTCAAAGAAGTTGAAATATTTAAATATTATGAAAGAGAAAAAATTGCTTCAAAAACCAGCCTAATTACAAACACTTCTACAGGGTTAAAAGTTTTAACATTCCATTTCTAAACTTGCGAAGAAACATACATTCATATATATATATATCTTTAAATATTAAAATGATGATAATTAGAAGCCAAAAACAAGAAAATAATCATGAATTCAGTTACTCAGTTATAGGTAGGCAGTCAAGTATATTAATATTTCTTTGTTAGAGGAATACTTTCTAAGAACTGTATTTAAATTAACACTGTACAAAAGAGAAATATTTCTCATAATGATGAAAGACAAAAAGATATGAACAAATCACAGTATGATAACATGTGAATAATTTATATATAGATATATACAGGATACTGAGTTTGTATATATATATATATATATTTAAATATTTAACATTAATAATTATACACATAG